GTTCTCCTTAACATGACCAACAAAGTATAAATGCTTTGCACTTACCAAGCAGGGGATGTTTCGGTTAAGATATTATTTATATCATCAGAGCTCTGCAGAACAGGCCATGGAAAGGCTGACTTAATATTCTTTAAACAAAACACCAATTATTTGGATGAATATTTCCAATTATCAAACATATGTCAGACTCATGTTTCCTATAGCATCTTTCTAAGCATTTCTAGGGGAAGGGCAAACAGGTCTAATTGTTTTAATAAGACATTGTTGAACAAAAGAATATACTTTTTTCAAATGCCATAGCAGTACTTTGAATGACATGCAGATGCGTGGAGAAAGACTCCTGTCTGTAACGCTGTGTGGTTTGTTTGCACTGGTGGTGAAATGCTTAATGCACTCAGTATATTTCATTGGAATATTTGATTTTGACAAAGCACTTTGATTTGATTACTTTTTTTCCCCTCTGAATAGAAAGCTCTGTAATCAATCATTATTTATTGAGGGAGCCATTTAGATGGGATAAGCACGTAGTGTATGTAGGAGAGGATCTGTTTTTTTCGTGTTGTTTTTACAGTTCTCTTCTTTGTGAAGGTCCAGCTTAGGGAAGGAAATGTTCATGATCTTAAAGTATACAGTCCATAATTTCATCCTCCTGGGATGAAAGCCTGGACATGCAGCTCCCTCTCTTTGAGGTGTTTCTGCTGATACATCTGCTAATGCTCCTGGGAAGATTGGTTTGGGTCGGGACCAATGAGAGCTTGCTTGGGAAGTCCAACATAACTAACCATTTCTTCTGTGACCTCAGCCTCATGCTAAAGCTTTTGGACTCTCATAAGCTCATCAGGGAGAGGGTTATCTTTGCTTTCGTTAGCATAAACAGGATTAGCCCTAGTGGAATCATGGTGGTCTCATGCCTGTATGTCCTCTCCCAGTGTTCTGAGGATACGCTCTGTGCAGAGCATGTTCAGAGCCTTTAACCCATGTGCCTCCCACTGCCAGTCTTCTCCTTGTTCTACACCTCAGGCTTCTTCATGCATCTGCTGCCCAGCTCCAGCCACAGGAGCCTGAACAAGGTGGCCCCTGTGTTTTACACCGGGATGGTGTGTGATCCCTCTGCTGAACCCCCTCATCTACTGCCTGAGGATCACAGAGGTGAAGGAAGCTTTCAGGAGATGTGCAGAGATTTCCCCATCTTTGTCTTCATTCTGATGGGGAGGAAGGGTCTGAAACTTTAATGAGCAAGTTGTTCTTTGATCACACAGAGAAAGAGCTTATAATAAAGTTTAAATTTGATTTTGCCTTTCCAAAAGGTTATTGTTTTCTTTCCCAATCTCACAGTAATGCAGTGGTGGGGGGAAAGAAGACTGCGGGTTACACAGTGATGCATTCTTTTCTTTCTGTATTTGTAAGGTATAACAGGGTGGTAAGACTTCAAGGCTTTAAGATTTTAAATACTGCACTTTAATTCTAAACAGACTAATCCAGTTGAGAACTGCAGGAGCTCAGGAGACAGTGAAACCTGCTAGAGTCACCTCTGCTTAGGACAGCATCTCAGAATGAAAGGAAACTTTGAAACACATGCAACTTTGAATTTGGAAACACATTACATAAGATAGATGTAAAACAAATACGCATCCTCAGTGTCTTTACATATGTGAGATTTGGGTGTCTGTGACAATGAATATTTATTTTTAATTAGGACTTTGTGATTCCAGCAATTTCTGAGAATCAGTCAAGCTAGGTTTTGTCAAGCAGACTCAGCACACTAATTGTGCCCCTTCCCTCCCATTTGTTTGCTTGCACAAAATAATGGCACAACACTCCAATGAGTTCTACAGAACTCCTAATGGGAGAAGGAGTCAACTCAGTATTTGTGGCAAAAAAAACCCTATTCATTACCCCTATAGGGTAGGGAATGGAGGTCCTGACAACAAAGGAGATCATAGAGTAAGGTTAGGAAAGAAATTTTCTCCAAAAGAGTGTTCATAGGTTGCCCAGGAAAGTGGTGGAGTCACTGACCCTGCAGTGTTCAAGAAACATGGAAATGTGACACTGAGGGACATGATTAGCTGGCATGGTGGTATGGACTGATGGCTGCACTAGATGACCTTAGAAGTCTTTTCCAACTTTTACTGATTCTATGATTTAAGCTGAGGGATGCAGGTGAACAGGGCTGCGGGGAAGCATAGGGCTAATGTCTACCTGAAAAAGCCAGGAGGAAATAAAAAAGCCAAGTGCAATAAAATATGGAAAGTAAGTCAGGCTGTCCACAATCTCTGCTGACAAGTACAAGCTTGAGTAGAAGTAGAGCAAGACTCCCCAGAAGATTTCAGGATATAGGCCATTCTCAGTCACTCTGGTCAAAATCTTGATCTTTCCAGGCCACCCAGAGCAGGGGGCATCCAGGTCCATGTCCTGGTGGCCTTTGTAGATCTCCATGGAACAGACCCACGACCTCTCTGGGCAACAAGTTCTATGCAAATGTTTCCAAGCCAAATATTGGAAGTCAAAAGAATAAGATGAGGAAAGAAAAAATCTTGGCAACAGGTGAATTCGTGGAGACCTCTGTCACTGTACAAGCTGGGCTAGATAGCATGCTGGAGCCACTTCCACCTGGCAAACTCCTTCACAGAATTCTTCATGTCCCTGTTCCTGAAGCTGTAGATCAATGGATTTAGCTCAGGCACTACAGTGGAGTAAAACACGGCAAAGAACTTGTCATTGTGCTATACATTGTAAAAAAGTTCAGAGCAAGGATAGAATCATAGAATCAGAGAATCCTTAGAGTTAGAAGGAACCTTGTAAGGTCAACTAGTCCAACTCCCCTGCGAAGAACGGGACATCCACAGCTTGATCAGGTTGCCCAGAGCCTGGCCTAGCCTATCCTTGGAAGTCTCCATGGATGTGGCATCCACCACATCTCTGGGCAACCTGTTCCTGTGCCTCACCACTCTCACCATAAGACTTTTTCCTTATAGCTAACTAATTCTACCCTCTTTAAGCTTGAAACCGTTTCCCTTTATTCTATCATACCAGACCCTGCTAAAGAGTTGGTCCTCTTCTTTCTTGTATCTCCCCTTTAGATTAGAAAGGCCACTATCAGGTCACCTTGGAGCTTTCTCTTCTCCAGCCTGAACAGCCCCTTGGTGCAAACTTCTTCTATGCAGCTGATCTGCATGAAGTCTTTGCTAAAATGCCTTGATCCAAGCTTACACTTTGCTTTGTCGAACCTTGTGAGGTTCACAAGGCCCAGATTTAGACTTATCAAGGTCTTGCTGGATGACATCCCTTCCTTCCGCCATATCAACTGCACCACTCAGCTTTGTGTTATCCACAAACTTGCTGGGAGTGCACTCAATTTCATAATCTATGCAATTGATCAAGATGTGAAAGATTGGCAGGTCCAAGAAAGACCTCTGGGGGACGCTGCTCATTACCAGGCTCCACCTGGACATACAGCCATTTACCCACTGGCTGCAGCCTTTCAAGCAATTCATTATCCACTGAATAGTTCACCCTGTGAATCCATACCTCTCCAATTTAGAGATAAAGATGTGGTGAGGAGACTACATCAAAGGCCTTGACTTCCCAACTTTCAGGCTGTGCTGATCGTTTGACCTATGCTTTCCTGAGCAGAACCAACTCCAATTTTCAACATACTGAAGAGGGTTTGGAAATAAGTACTTTGTTTAGGTGTTTTATTTTGTTCCATGGATCAAAAAGAGACAGGAACAAGTTGTCTGATTGGTGGGATCCAACCAAAGCGTGTTAGCTTGATTACAGACAGCTCTTCCGGCAGGCCTGGGCTCCAGGCTCCTGTCATCCAGCTGGTTCAGGCTGTTTCCATCACAAGCAATGATGCTCCCTTCTCAGAGCAGAAAGTGTTCTTTGGAGACCAACCACCCCTCAAGGAGTCACGGCTTAACAAGCCCTTCTGGGCCTTACCAAGAAAGTGCCCTCATCCTGAGAGCTTCTCAGAGCCTTGGAGTCAGCTGAACTGCTCTTTGCTAACAAGCCCTGAGAGACTCATTAGTGGGGACTAACAAGAAACTTTCTTCCTTGGTAACAGCAAGGAGCTCCTCTGCAGCCACTTTCTTTGTCAGAGTTGGCCCAAAGACAAAGAGGGTCCCTGTACTGCTACGTGCAGTGCTCAGGGCATCACTTGGCATGGCTGACAGGAGCGGGATGCTAGTTCAGGTTCTCCTGATTAAAGCACCGACACCCCACCCCTCTGCTTGAATCTCAAACTCCAGGCCAAGGACCCTCCCACTCTGCTGTGGCTCTGCTTGGGCCACTGCTTTGTTTTCCTGCTCAACGTTTCCTCCCATTCAGGACACTTTTCTGCCCTACTGCTTGAGTCAGCTGAATTGGAACTTCCAAAGCTTGTTGGTCCCATGGCAAGTATCGTATGACTTCTTCTAGAGGAAAAAGCACACGATTCTACAACAGTGAGGTAAAGCAGTTTGTATTCATACAGCAAAAACGAGCTCCAAGTACTTGGGTGGGAAGAAGGCACACAGGTTACAGCCCAGGTGAAATTAATTCTTGCAGCAAAGTGTTGATAGAAAGCCGAGTGTTTATTTCCCTGGCAAGGCTGACAGAAGGGAAGAAATGGGGGTTTGGAGAATGTTTTTGGAATGGCATTGCCTAACTCATCAACAGAATCCAAGTTCCTCCTGCAACCCAAGGCAGAAGGTGAACTGTGTGTGCCTCATTCCCATCACTCAGAATCAGAAGGGCTTCAGTTCCTGAAATTACACATATCAGACTATAAATACACAGAAAAGTAACTGCAGCAGTGATGATTGAGTCAGGTCAGGAAAAGGCCTGATCTAAGAGCAGCCCACGACCAAGCACTGAGGAACACAGTCAAAATTTTCCATTCTTTTCTCCCGTCACTCATTCACAAGTCACTGGAGACTGTTCTTTCTTTTCATGACGCAGCACAGCAGAAATGCAGGGTATAAACATTTCTGAGAAGACCTCTCCATTCCCCCAACCACTCAGGACACCTGTTTGTCAGGGACACGCTTCCTCTCCAACACTTTCCCTAGAGCATCCTTTACCTCCTGGTTCCTCAGGCTGTAGATGAAGGGGTTCAGCATGGGGGTCACCATGGTGTAGAACACAGAGGCCATCTTATCCAGGTCCTGTGAGTGCCTGGAACTGGGCCGTGAGTACATGGAAGCAGCAGACACATAGAAGAGGGTGACAGCGGCCAGGTGGGATGCACACGTGGAGAAGGCTTTGCGTTTGCCTGTGGCTGTGTGCATCCTGAGGACAGTGAGCAGGATGTACGTGCAGGAGGCAAGGATGGTCACGCTGGTGACAAGCAGGTTGAAGCCAACCGCAAGAAACATCACCATTTCATTGATGGTGGGGTCTGCGCACGAGATGGCGTAGAGCAGGGGACCATCACAGTAGAAGTGATTGATGAGGTTGGAACCACAGAAGGACAGCCGCAGTGCAAACCCTGTGTGAATGGTGGCATTCACAACGCCAACAAGGTACGAGCCAGCAACCAGCAGGGCACAAACTCTGCTGGACATGGAGAAGACATAGAGCAGAGGGCTGCAGATGGCCACGTAGCGGTCATACGCCATCGCAGCCAAAAGGTAGCACTCTGTGGTGGCAAAGACAGCGTAGAAATAAAACTGTGCCAAGCATGCAGAGTGGGAAATGACTTTCTGTGATGCTGGGAGGTCTGAGAGCACTCGGGCAGTGATTGAGGAGGAATAGCAGATATCAAGGAAGGACAAGCAGCTCAGGAAGAAATACATGGGGGTGTGAAGCCGGGAGTCCAGCCTGATCAGTGTGATCATGCCCGCATTGCCTAGCAGAGTGACCACATAGATTAGCAGGAAGACCATAAAGAGGACAGCCTGGATGCCCCTGTCCTCAGAGAATCCCAAGAGCACTGTCGAGGCTGTGATTTCCCTTGGCCATCATCACAACACAGTTGCAGCTGGAAAGCAGAGATGTGGAGAAACATGAAACCAGCATGTTTCCTTTTTGCCCCACAGTCCAAGATCAAAAGAATTGTCTTTTTATTGGGGAACATAAAGCATGCAGGCCGCAAACAAAGGAAAACAAATTAAATGTCTCAAAACACAAATAAGCGATGTGAATGGTGCCCTATGTTTGATTTATTCTGGTCATATTTTGGTTTGGTAATGTCACTTTGCAAACTGGAATTTGTGTTCTCCTTGTTAAAGTTTGTCACTCTTTGGATCCAAAGAGATAACCAAAATAGTTAAATCTTTTTTTTTTTAAAAAAAAAAGAAGAGATGTCTCATGAGAGAAAAAGCACCAGTGAGACAAAGAGACATTTTTAGAGGCTTTTACTTCAGAATGTCAGAGGAAAACTTTCTTTTCTTCCCTTTCTTCCCATGGAGAAGGTGGGAACAACTCCAAAGCGCTTTGAAATGGGAGGTGTAGTGTAAAAATTAACACCATCTCCCCTTTTCTGTCTGGGGTTGATAGCATTCCTGTGAAAACACTGAACTGAAAAAGGCGCGGGAAAGGGTTATAAAGATCAGTACCACTGGAAGCCCCAGCAATGAAAGGTGAATGCACAGAGCAAGCTACTTAGAATGCAGTTTAAAAAAATTATCACAGTACCAAGCCTATGTCTTCCCAAAAGAGAAGTTATTTAGATGGTGGAAAGAATTGCTCACTGAGGAATCCATTTCACACCATGTCAAACTCTACCCTAGGAAAGGAGTGTTCTGCACTTGGAAAATTCAGTGCATAAGCCCTTGTCTGACTGATACAGAGTCTCTTCAGTCTGGATTTAGAGAAACTGGGCTTCATAGACCTTTGTATTCCTTTCCAGGATTTGAAACTGCACTTCCCATCAGTTTTCTTCACATGCAGCAGAACCATGGGCCATGTGGCCAGGAGTGCTGCAGAAGCTTGCTGCCCTGGCGCCTGCCAAGTGGAGCTCTGACCATCTGATGCCTGCTGCTGTCTCTGTAACATCTCTGGCAAGCACAGCTTTGGACAGTCAATGCCTCGGCTTCTCCAAGCCTCCTGCCTTTTGCTCACTGTGCAATTACAACAAAGACAGACATTGTAATTATCTGAGACTGTGGGCTTTTCTTTAGGGCTAGCAGCTTCCTTCAGGTTAAAAAAGCTGCTTCTGGATCCCTGGGCTGTGTTCAAGAGACCCTGACCTTGGGCGAGTGATTGCCATGCAAAGCGGCTCAGCTCCTGCCAAAATCCTCCCTTCCTGACAGCTCAGCTCTCCGTGGAGCCCTCTGGCTGACACTGGGCGATGCTCCCCAACTCACCTGTTGGCTCAGGACCCTTCCCAGTTTATGGAGGCACAAAGCTGAGACTTGCTCTCACCTACACCTACAGGCGAGGTGAGAAATAAGCCCATGTCTCCCCTTGTTAGTGTGAAGGGCAAGAACAATTTGTGAGCCATAAAGGGCATCAACTCCAGACCGAGAGAAGCTGTTGTTTATATGATGCTTTCCTTCAAAAGTGGGGCCAATTCCTCCCCCTGGTTTGATCATGAAAGAGATTTCTCTGGGGAGCAGATAACTTTGGAGACAGCTCCTTTAGGAGGAGACTTGCACTAAGAAGTAAACATGATCTAATTCAGCATGTTAACTGAAAGCCTGAGTGTTCTTCCTCCTTCTTTTCAGGTGTGATTTGTGTCATAAACACATGGGGAAAATAAACAAATGATGCATGTGTTTGTGAAGGACACCCGAACATCAGCATGGGGAACCACAGCTGTCCTTGATGCCCTTCCAAACTGCACCTGGGGGTGATGGCTCCGGACAAACTCCACATTTGCCACAGCTCCACATCTGATCTTCACCCCTGGCTGCCAAGCAGCAAGTGGAGAACGCTGTAAATTTTTTCCAGAAAAGACATTTTCTCCATGGTAAGGACGTTTGACACAGGTCAGATGAATCACAGCCTCCACACGCATGATTGTCTCCATAAGGAGAACTAGTGGTGACTAACCCAGATAAGAAAGCCTACAATTAGAATTGGTGACTTCTGCTCTGAGACGACTCAAGCCCCATTTCTTGATCCTGCAAGCAAAAGTTATTATTTAGCTGCAGCTGGGATGGAAAAGACACTCTGCCTGGGCTGTTGTTGGACAAGACAGGCAAAACAACACATCAGGTTTATTGAAGGAAAGCATAGCCTTAGTCAACAACTTAGAACATTTTCAATCAAACTGTGAAAATCACCATTTTACCCTGAGATATATTTTTAATCAATATAGAGGATCTATCATGATTGTGTTGGTACTTCTTATAAGTTCATCTCCCTGTGTAGGTGTGTGTAGTACTCATAATATCTCTTCCTTCCAAAGATTCACCAACAATGGAAGAGTTTCAACTGCTGCTATTCTTCCTTTCCTTCATCCTACCAGATGCCAAAATTACAAGTCATTCATTCTTCAGTGGACTCAGCCCTTGGAAAAGCATCATCCACACAATGTCCAGCCCAAGGTAAAATATGTTCTTCTCAAGGGACGTGCAAGAACGTGCAATGCCCCTGCTACATCAGGTGTCCAATGATCTGCTGTGATGTGCAGCACCTGTTAGAATTTGGTTGAAGGGAGGCTGACAATGGCTGCAGGAGGGGACCTTCCTCACGGCTCTGCTCAGAGCATTCCTCACCTCCGTGTTCCTCAGGCTGTAGATGAAGGGGTTGAGCATGGGGGTCACCACCGTGTAGAAGACAGAGGCTGTTTTCCTTTCCTCTTCCGCGTGACTGGAAAGGGGGTGGAGGTACAAGAAAGCTGCAGAGCCACAGAAGAGGGTGACAGCAGTGAGATGTGAGATACAGGTGAAGAAGGCTTTGTGCCGGCCCTCCACAGAGTGGATGCTGCAGACGGTGAGCAGAAGGAATGTGTAGGAAAGGAGGATGGCCAAGGCCAAAGAGGCAACGATGAAGCCAGCACATGAGAGCATCAAGACCTGGTTGAGCCAGGTGTCAGAGCACGAGAGCTGCAGAAGTGGTGGGATTTCACAGTAAAAATGTTTCAGCACATTTGGGCCACAGAAGGACAGTTGTAGGAGAGCTGTGGTGTGCACCAAGGCGTTCAGGCTGCTGGCCACGTAGGAGCCAACCACCAGCTGCACACAGACCCTGCGGGACACGACAGCCAAGTAGTGCAGAGGCCATCGGATGGCCACACAGCGGTCATATGCCATGATGGCCAGAAAGAAGGCTTCCGTGGTGATGAATACTAAATAGAAGAAGAGCTGTGTGAGGCAGCTGTGAAAAGAAATGACTTTCTGCTCAGTGAGGAGTCCCAGCAGCAGCCTTGGAGTTATGGATGTGGAATAGCAGACATCCAGGAAGGAAAGGTGGCTGAGGAAGAAGTACATGGGTGCGTGAAGATGAGGGTCAATCCTGATGAGGACGATCATTCCGAGATTCCCCACCAGAGTGGTGATGTAGACGAGGAAGAAAACCACAAAGAGCAGCTCCTGCATGGTGGTGAAGCCCAAGAGGACAAACTCTGTCACGCCAGAATGGTTTCCCCCTGCCATGCTCCTGGTGCCAGTTCTTACTGGGAGAAAAAATTATAGCTCCTCTCCATAGGGAGAAGTCAACACCATAGTACTGCTACTTGTTTGCCACTTTCTTCATGGTAGCACTCAACAGATAAGACGCCACACCAAAATGGTTTTCTGACTCTCTAGTGACACGACCGGATCCATTAAGGTGAGGCCAGTGTCCTTCATTGCCATTCCACGGACTTACAATTTCAAAAGCAAACTTCCCCTTCTAATCTGAATTATTAATCACTTTCATAAGGATGGCTGTCTGTGATAAGGTGTGTCTCTCAAAATCTCAGTGAATAGACATAAATCACTGTCTCCCCCGGATCCCAGCATCAGATTCCTCAATGCACTATGTAGTCAGCAGGGAAAGAGATCCCCTATTGCATATATACACACATATATTCATAAAATGATCCACAGCTTTTCACAAAGGGTGGAGAATCCTTCCTTTCACTGGCTTGGCTGTTTGCATTCTTGCATGTCCTCTATTTCCAACCGAAATGAATCCATGATTCTATGGTTCCTGTGCCTTCTCATCCACGCCCTTCAGAGCTCACATCTGGGTTTCCCTGCTCTGCATGAGGAATCAGAGTTTGCTGTGATCTAAATTCAGTCTCTGCTCTGCTCCTTCTGAGCTCAGCCGGATGGCAGTCACCTAAGGTTAAACCAGCACCAGGCTTAGAGGTGTTGTTTAATGTCCATTGTCATCTTCCTCCTGTTTTTTCAAATGTGTTACACTCTTTTTATTGATCTACTTTGCTTCAATGCGGCAGAGCTTCTGCACTTCTCCTTCCTATTGCCATGAATCCAGGCACAGACAAAAACTCATCGGCTGGATGCTGACAGAGGATCCTGGAAGGGATATGCACAGCTTTCCTGCAGCTTTCCTGCTGCTGGCAAAGACACTCAGCCTCACATCACCCAGCACACATCTGCCCCAAACATTCTCAGAAAATCACCCTTTCTGGTCCATTGCATTCTGCCTCCTCAGAAAAGCAAAACTCCCTGCTGCTCGGGCTGAAGCTGTAAGGGCTCCATTGCTCTGTCTGCCGCCAGAAGGGAAGCCTGTTGCATCCCCCGTGTGGCAGGCAGATTTAAGTTTTATCCCACACCCACAGCACAAATTACCAAAGGTGCGCTGGGGCACCTCAAAAGCAGTCAGCTTTCCCCAAAGACCCTGCTTAGTAGAATTTTCCATTTCTTCTTTAATACGTTCTTTCACCATTGCTTTCCAGAGGAAGAGCCCCTGAGCTGCTCTTTCCAGCATGCTCCTGTGGTCACAGCACTCACAACTTTGCAGGCTCATCCAAGGGCAGATGCACCACCGCTACGCTGCACGGTGGGCTCTCCTATTTCACACAGCACAATGCAAAGGGTGTTGAGCAGCGGGCATGGACTCAAGTAGCTCTCCTGTGAACATGTGAAACCAGGTGCATTAAGTCTAGACAGCATATAAGGTATTCACTTACTGTTTATTTGTAGCAATGGCCACAAGCCATTGTCTGTAACTTTACTGCAGATACCTTATTTCTGCCCTTCTGATAAAAATAAACAAAGAAAATAATTTTCACAAAAAAGAACAGAAAAGAAGAAAGCCTCATGTGTCATCCACTGGAGACTATCTTCAAACACTCAACTTCACTCTCTACTTTAGTCCATTCTATTCCACTCCGCTCCACTCCACTCCACTCCACTCCACTCAACTCCACTCCACTCCACTCCACTCCACTCCATTTCTTTCTACTCCATTCTATTCAATTCCATTAATTTCCACTCCACTCCACACCGTTTCACTCCATTCCATTCCATTCTGTACCACTTCACTCCACTCCATTCCATTCCACTCCACACCGTTCCATTCCATTTCATTCTACTCTATACCACTTCACTCCATTCCATTCCATTCCATTCCATTCCATTCCATTCCAT